AGAGAAGGGTGACGTGGATGGCCCTGTTGTATTTGCACTGCAGCTACCGTGGAGCGTCTGCAGGGTTCAAAGAAGCGAGGCTGAGGGCTGACGTGGTGAATACCTGACGGATGCACAAACAAGGGTCTCAGGCTCCACAGTCGAGGAGCATAATGGTGACTGATGATGACTCACCTGGGGGGAAGCCGAGGGGCCACAATCTTAAACGACAGGGGAACGTCGTACGAGAGTTGTTTGTCAACGACAGCAGCTTGTAATAAGCATGAGTGTTGATGGATTAACGAAGACAAGGCGCACCCCAAAAACGACGCTGCATTTCCGAAGTTCGAAGCGAGCATCGGCAGACAGTACGGGAGTGCACAGGTGACTCCCGACGCTAGAAGACCTGAGTCGCTAACATCTGCGAGAGGCCGTTTGGCGTAATGATCATGCATGGTGCACGCCCACGACAGGCGAGAGACCCATGCGGTGCGGGCAATGGAACACAGCCATTGGACATTCGTGGGTTTCGAGATCTGTCACCACATAAGTGAAGCGCACATATAGTGCATCCAGCTCCCTACGTAGAAGATCCTATATTGTGAGTATGTCCAGTACCACAACGGGCCATAGTGGTCATCGAACACACCTCGAGGCACACTGACCGGTTCACGATCGCGATCGAACAGGCCGAAATACTCGGAGAAGCCTATTCAACCGAGCGGAACATGCGTACCGTGAGTCTAGATGTACGCAAGAAGATGGGAGATAACTGACTATTCGTCCTTCTGTGGCGTGCGTCCAAGGCACTGCTCGGTTCGCATACAAGGTGCCTTAGAAGATATCGCGGATGCGCATAGACGCACCCTTCCCAACCTGACATAAACAGTGCTTGCATGTCACCAATTTCATGTAGTATTTCACATGGGCTCGTCTTCATGTTATGTCGAAGACGGACATAGCTGATGGCGGCCCAGGAAGAACAGAATATGTCAGATACAGTCACGACACACGAGGTCCAGCGACATATCGCGGTAGATCGCACCTGATGGCAAGAGCTCCATAACGTTGATAATACTGAAGTGGTTCATATTCTATGAATCTTTCTTCGGTGGAAGCGAAACATCAGCGATGGAGATTTCGTCGAAGACATCGTGGCTAAGGGCACGGAGTCTCTAGGCGCTTGCTTTCCCAAATCGCCTATCGGGAGAGGCAGGGAGACGGCGGCGATTGCCGGTATGGTCCTGGCGTCGTCTAGTACTAGTGTGACCCCAGAAGCTACGGATTAAGCGCCTGACCCCAGAAGCTACTGACACGCCTCCAGTTCTCGCATTTCCCTGTCAAAAAGTGTGCACAGGTTACACGCGAAAAGAAGTACTTCCAAACTATCATTGTCCAAAAGAACGAAGGAAATCGGAAGGGATTTGCTCCCGATATAAGTCAATCTCAGTAGGGTTTCAGGGGTTTACTGACCTTGGTGAGCTGCCACAAAAAGATCTGCAGGGCCGATCTTTCTGTAACTTCGCAAAGTGTTCTGAACATTCTCAATAAACTTTATTGTTCAGTCTCCGATGGGTTCCGGGTTGCAGTATTCGAAAGATAGGAAGAGGTCTCTCGAGCGTGACATTCAGCCACTGACCGAGATAAAGCTGACTTTGAATCTGAGCGCTTCGACAATGTTGCCCCGGCCAACTTCGCTATCAAACGACTGATAACAGCGGTGTTTGAATCGGCAGTCTTCGGCATTGTGACCATCCATGACAATCTATGGGCGCCTTTCCGTAGCTTCTGGGGTCAGACGTGTAATTCCGCGATGCTCAATGCAAACCTCCACCGATTTTCTCCATATTTCACACGTATGTACTGTCCAGGATGCAAATGAAGTGTGCGAAGTCTGAAATGTATCAGAGAGGAAGGGAGGGAGATAACCATGAAATACGTTATGGGTCGTAGCTTCTGGGGTCATACTAGTACCTGCAGCAAGTCTTTCTCTGAATCTGGGCTGGCCTTTGCCTTTGCCTCTCATTACTTGCCGTGTATTGACTGAGTCTGAGAGTGCCCTCTATGCTCGGATGGGGGTATTCCAAGCACGATACTTGCGTTTACGCGCTGTACTCCGTCTGCGCATAATCAACGTGCATGGCTAGAATTCAGTATATAGGAATCCTATTCGTTCATCAGGGAAATGCATGCGCTGAGATCATGTTGTTTGACGGTCGCGGACGATCCTGACGGATATCCATGGGGGCTCACGCGCTCACGATGGGCCAAGTTTGTACTTGTTTGGGCCCTTCCTAGTACGTGTCCGTTACACCGCCATTCCGCCTAACCGCCCCCGTTTCAGTGGAACCTCGCCGTGCTTGCAAGTCTGTCTCCTACGCTGCTGCTATTAATCTAATCTGAAATGACATGCATTTCGAATGCGTATTGACACAAGAGTATGCGTTTGTGGGTCTCAAGTTCTCGTTACGTTGTGCGCAAGCTCAGTACACTCCACGCGTTCACTCTAGGGTGAACAGTATGTTTATTTCGCAACCACGGAGGGGCCAGGCCTTCATTGATACCCTTGGCCCCGTTCGGTGCAACCGAGATCACTGTAGCCGCTCAGTGATGGGAGTGGGGCTCCCGCTACCAGCAGAAGAACCCAGCAGCTTGTACCCTGCCCTGTCAGCGGACCGACCGAATGGGGCCTGGTTATGGTAGTTAGACGACACCCTTCTCAGCCTAGGGCTCCTCGTCAGTATGGCTATTGTGCCTAGGACACTGGGGCCCGGCAGTCCGATGACGTAGATCCCAGTGAACTTGGTAAAGGAATGCCAGCGCTCTGGACAGCCAGATTCCAATCATGGCTTTCGCGATATTCCCCTCCCGACTCCATCCTCTCACATCTCCGTCGCAATGATGTATGTAAGCCGATCAGTGTGCCATCATATAGTAATGGCTGATTGTAGCGCGGTATCGCTCAAAGGTAGTCCAAGGAGGAATTGTGTTCAAGGGAATCCGTTGTCGTCAACTCATGATGCTTCATCGTCCCAAGAAGGGAAACGAGGCAGTCCAACACGTTTAATTTACCGATGCTGTGGAAGGGTAAATCCAACAGTCCTCGACAAACACCTCACTTCCTAGAATTAGCCGACAAACCTCATGCTGCGCCCTGCACAGGGCGCTCGTTGCCCTTTGATCACGATCACACAATTCCCATCGTTCCCTCCACGAAGTCCTTTGTGCCACTCACGTGTTTGGCCCATGCAACCCAACGGCACCACTGACAAAAGGTAGCGCCCGCCGCTTTGCAGGAGAGCGCCGAGGTAGCCGGTGCACGGACTTGGAAGGTGTGGCCAAGGATGCGCTTTGGGCACGGCGCTCACCATTTTGTCTATTGCTGGGCTGATTCTCGGGCACATTGGACAAAGGAAAGGCCGCTTAGTGCGTTTGCCACGGCCACAGTCTATACCTACAATGGGGCCATCGACCAAGCTACGGTATATAAGGTGTCATTCAAGCCATTGCAAGACCACTCGCAACGTCAACCACGCCCTCTAATTCTGTGCTCTTATCCGTAGTGTCTCTACGCCGCTTTACATCTTTTAATCTTACGCGTATATGATATCGTACGTTGGACTCGCTACTCACACCATGCGCTGGTCGCTGACGGAGCTCTGCCATCCCTAGCAACATGAGTCTCTATGGACAGTTCGAATATCGTGCGCCTCGCTCTGCTGGGTCGTATCGTAGGTCGGTAGGCGACGACTTTTTTAGTGCCGCATACAGTCTAAATCTTGCTTCACAGGGCGGTGTCACCGCCACCGATGTGTATAGACCCGAAGTTAGTCGACCCTGGCATCGGCCTGCCGGACACGGAAGAAGGGTGGTCGCAGTGGCCGCTGTGCGGTTTTCTCCCCGGCGACTCCACGCCGGACTCCTCCGCCGAGCCTCAGGGTCCCCCATCCGACTCCGACGGCACTCCCCCGCCTCAGGCGTCATCCTCGGCGCACAAGAAAAAGATGTACGTCGGGAGGAAGCTCTCCGGCGGGAGGAAGAGGAAGGTGAGGGCTTCGGGGAAGCCCAAGACCTCCGTACGTGGTTCGGAGCCGGGAACGCAGATACTCAAGTGCAAGTGGTGCAGCACTTGGCTGCAGGAGCGCACGATGCAGCGGCACGTGAACCACAAGCACCCCACGCATGGGACTGCCAGTGTGCCCGCGTCCGCGAGGACGTGTACGATGTGCGGCGTCGTCTTCTCGCGCACCGATGCGTTGCATCGGCACGAGAGGATCTGCGGATAGTTTGGTGCTTTGGGGGACCGTAGCGGGCGTCGAGGCCTTAGATTATATCCTAACGTTATTCTGTTGTATTTATCAAGATTCACGGGTCTGTTGTATTTGTAGAGGTCCATAGGGTTTACCCTAAAATTGTACTTATGGATGCTGTTACGGGACTAACGTTCACCGTGTTTTTGGAGATTATATTCCAGGTCATGTTCACTGACACTGCGCCGCCAACCGTTAAGGTTCGACATGGTTCAGGAATCAGGTAGCATAACGTGTTTTTTCTCAGCGCATAATACATCTGCCCCGGGAGAATATGCAAGATCTTACTACGTGCAATACATGAATTACAACGCGCGCTAGCGAAACACGTCTATATGGAAACTACGTAGAAAGCGCTACTTAGTGGGTACGCGAGGGGATGGATGGTCAGACATGGCATACAATATCGCATACACACTGATCCACGGAGGTAATGTCAGAGCATGAGTTCTCGGTACAAGATGGAAAGTGTTAGATTCTGTACCCGAAAGATTGGGAACAAAAAGCGGGTCCTGATCCTGCCGGACCGACTTGTTGATCTCCATCGCGCGGAGGGGTTACGCCTTCAGTGGAAGGAAGCCAGTCTCCGAACGCTGAGAGGGGCAGAAGGAGATGGGTCCAGCGAAGCAAGCCATTGTCGGGCTTTCGGGCAGGGAAATGCGCCCTGGCGGCGTGTACGGAGGGCTGGGAGACTGGAGACACGGGGTGGTCGGTGTATGATCAAGTGGCGTGGTCGGCTCTTCGGATATGTCGTAAAGAGTAGAAGATGAACTTGGCTTGTGTTTGAGCGTGCCGTAGGTGTCAGCGAGCGACTTGGTCGAGACAGAGAGGTTTGGCCGCTGTTGAGCGCGTTAGCAAGCGTACATGGAACCAGGAGGCGATCTTCGGGGAGGATTGAAGGTAGACGATAGTCGCACCTTATTTCTGGATGGGGTGGGAGAGTAAACATTGACCGTCCGCTTTGACCAGGTGCGATTAAAGCGGCGATGGGCACGGCATTGCCGAAATATAAGAAATAAGAACACGGCGACACAAGTAACGAGTGTACATGATGACATCGTGAGCATGGTAACGGGATAAGCAGTCCCAAGGATCAGGCTGCCGGGCATTGTACAGGGATCGTCGACTAACACGTTCAGATCCAGCCGGTTCGGCTCGTGGACGACAGCTGGTCCTAGATCAGCGCTCAGGAACATCCACGAGAATATTCCGCCCTAATGAGGACACACCTTCGTACGAGAGACCTGTGACCATGGCGATGCTCCCTGACGTAGATAAGGTCGCAAGGGGATGATGTGTAGTGCCAGAAGAATGGAATATGCCCTCGACGATATGCGCGCTGAAATAGACCAGAGTCAGGTAAGTGGAAGGCGACAGAATCGGCGAGAGTTCACACTTTTCGGGGCCAGGTACCACCAGGCCTCCCTTCCCCCCGAAACTTGAGCCAGGCACGGGGCGTGATGCTGATTCCTGGAATTTAACCGAAGACGCGACGGGTTGCTCAGTGGATGATAGTGGTGCCCCGTGAGCTGTGAGGAAATTGGTGGTTATGCATGCCGCTAGAGTCATGGGACAGGCATTGCGAGAGAAAGACAACATGCTGCGTCTTCAATGGAAAGCTGGTTGGCCATTGTACAACGTCGGAAGGAATATATGGGGACTGTGCCTAGGACCGGAAGGCCTGAGGGACGATGAGATGCACCTACATATCTCGAATACGAGCAGTCCGTGCGTAGTTTTGTTGAGCAAAGCCTTGAATAATGGTTTCAACACCGATGCCGGATATCTAGATGGGTCCGAGCAAGTCAGTATCCTAGAGAACGCGGCGAGTCACGAAGCGGAACGGACACTCGATTAGGAACCCTAATACATGCGTACTCGAGTTCTGGATTCAGTGCCTGGAGCGATGGCATGCTCTCCTTGATCTGCCTACCTTGAAGGGGTATATTAAACAGCATTAGAAGACACAGAGACTCCCGTCTGAAGCCTGCTCACCTCCCGCAAGCACTTCACTCTATTGAGCGCCCATATGCATCCTGCGTCTATCCACGAGCCCTCGGTTTTATTTATGTCCCCAATGCTGCGTACTAAGAGAACACCCACTAGTACGCCATAAAGGAACTGCATCACGGAATGCCGCCCGCCATCGAAGGAAGCTTTGTATGGGGCATATTTGGTCTGTGCTGCAGGAGGCCCACATCGTGCCAGGTGTGCGGGTACGCACATGCTACATGGCTTTGAGTGTGGTTCGCAGACGGTGCGGCAACATCTTGGACATCGAGGAACCTTTTGGACAATAGGAAACGCAGGAGCCTTTGTTGGCGCAGACCGCGAGAGCATTCAACGGGTGCTCCGGCGCGCCTAGCAAGACCTGTTATGTCCACATACGCCTCTCCCTTTCAAGATTCCATAAGACCGCATAGTAATGCTGGGGCAAGCGATAGCAATTCCAGGATATGGCCTAGAGTTTACTGTATGAGATTGGGGACAACTTCTGGACACCGAGTTGACTGCACCGGAGCAGTCGGTGTCGGTGTCAATCAAGAGCATGTCAAAAAGGTGTACAAGCGTTCCGATCCAAGAAGGCTGAGAGTCGGCCCATTGCAATGCGACCAGTAGAGCCAGCGTGGGAGGCAAGAAAAGAGGAGCGGTGATGATTGTCGACGTCTACAAGTTCGGTAACTTCGGTTGGACTCCGGAAGGCGGGCGGCAATGCCCCACGTGGGAGCGACGCCCGAGCGGCTCGCCCAAGCTGTACTCGCCCTCTGTCCTACCGTCGTCCATCGCTTGTCTCTCATCTTCTGTCCAGTACTGCGTTGTTTGTTTGTTTCCGGCTAGTCATGTCCTACATGGCCACAGACCCTGGCTACTACGCCGACACTTACAGTACGCTCTCAAAACAGTCAGTAGTCCTCCCAACTGTCCAACCGTCTCCCGGCACGAGCTTACAGGATCGTCAGGCGCCGCATGTATGTCTATTTCCATCCATCTACTTCGCATCGCGCGTGAATCAACTCACGAACTCGCAATCCCCTTGCTGCACTTCAGGTCCCTCCGCCTGCGGCACACATCCCGCTAGATGAGGAATTTTACGTTCTCGATCCGTATACGGGCCGAAAGCGACCAAACGTCGAGCTCCTCAGGGAACACTTCTTCCATGAGGGGCGGCTCTCGCACGAGCAGGCCATGTTCATCCTCGATCAGGCCACGGACGTGATGACCCGCGAACCAAATATGGTTCAGGTCCCAGGTCCCGTCATCGGTGCGTGTGGACTTCTCAATAATGCTAGCATGGTCTTCCTGACGACGCGACGACTTGCGGCTATGAACAGTATGCGGAGATATACATGGTCAATACGTGCGCATATTCCATCCCTGCCGTATAGCTCATCGTGTGACGCCCCGCAGTACGACCTCATGAAGATTTTCGAAATTGGTGGCTCGTTTGAGGAGACCAATTACTTATTTCTTGGAGACTATGTTGACAGGGGATGTTTTGGCATCGAGGTGAGTGACTCTTCCAATAGCCTTTCCATTCCTGGTCCTAGGCTCCGTGGTTGTTGTATGCCCATCCTTTCAACAATCGGACGCTGTTGGTTTGCAAGGGGTCAGCTAGTTCCCCTCTTTGCATTTACGCCGCCGCACAATCTCATCGCATTATCTGTTTCTTCAACAAATTCTGAACGCTCGTGCTCGTCCTAGTGTTTGCTGTATCTCTACGCCCTCAAGCTGTATTACCCTAATCGACTGTTCCTGCTCCGTGGGAACCACGAGTGCAGGCATCTAACAGAATATTTTACCTTCAAACGCGAATGTTGGTGCTCCGCATATACCTTGACTATCCGGATTGACGTTCCTCCTCCCTATACAGGTCTGCACAAGTATTCCGCCGAAATTTACGACGCGTGTATTAAATCGTTCCAAGCGCTACCTATAACTGCGCTTGTCGACGGAAGGTTCTTCTGTGTCCACGGTGGCATCTCGCCGGAGCTGGACACGCTGAGAGATCTGGAATTGGTACTCACTCAGCCTTTTTGCCGCTGTCGTCGGAGTGTTAATGCGTCTGGCACTTACAGATAAACCGCTTCGAGGAGCCGGCGTCGAAAGGGTTGCTGTGCGACCTGCTTTGGGCGGACCCTATACCCAACTTCGGACACGAGGTGTGTTCAAACGCCAGATGTCGCCTGTGGTACCTGTTGACGCGTTGGCCCCGTGCAGCAAGATCCGACGTATGATCGTCCTCAGGGACTGCCGCCAGGCGTTCCATTCGTAGATAACCATACTCGTGGCTGCAGCTATTACTTTACGTACGGCGCGTTCTCTAGTCTGTTACCCAAGCCGGTATGCTGACGCACGCTTGCCTTGGCAGGTATGAGGCCGCGTGCAAGTTCCTCGAGCGCAATCAGCTCTTAGGAATATTTCGTGGCCACGAGGCGCAGGATGCGGGGTACACCATGCACCGCAAGACGCCAACCAAGAAATTCCCGTCTGTCATTACCATCTTCAGCGCGCCGAACTATCTGGATGTATACCACAACCGCGGCGCGGTGATCAAATATAAGAACAAGAACATCACTATCCGGTATGTCTATGCTCGCAATGGGTGAATAGCCCCTTACCACGTCCTTACGGATCTACTCCTTGCAGACAATACAATGCCTCCTCGCACCCATACTGGCTTCCGAATTTCATGGACGCCTTCACGTGGTCGCTCCCCTTCGTCGGCGCGAAGATCACCGAGATGCTGCTCGCGATCCTCTCCGTGTGCTCGGACCAGGAGCTCGAGTCCGTCTCGTCCGAGGAGGACGATGCAGACCGCCAACGCGGTTTGGACGACGACGACTCGGACGGCGACGACACGCGCACCGTCGCGGACCTGTCGCCCAGCGAGCTCGGGCAGAGGAGGCAGGAGATTAAGAACAAGATCTTGGCCGTCGGCAGAATGCAGAGGGTCTTCCAACTCCTTCGGTGCGTTCACATTTTACCTTTTCATCCCGCCTACAGTAACGCTCATGCTGACACGCCCCGGTGTGACAACAGAGAAGAAGCGGAGAACGCCACGGAGCTTACGCCCGCGCCCAACCCCGGCGGCCCCGGCCCGACGCCCACGTCGTGGCCGGGCGGGTTCGCGCCTCCGGGCTCATCCGACGCGCTGGGCGTGCACGGAACGCAAGTGCGCAAGATGATCCGCTCGTTCAGCGACGCGCGCGCGTCGGACATCGCCAACGAGCGCATGCCGCAGTTCGACTACACCGCGCCGTCCGCGATCCCGCTCGTGCCCGTGCCGAGCATGCGCATCCCTGGACTGAGCCTCGCGAGCGGGAGCGGGGTCGGGACGGGGGGTGTAGGCGACGAAATTGATAGCAGGAGGAATATGGAGGAGCTGATCAAGAGAGCGTTGGAGGAGGAGGGGTTGGGCGATGGCGGGATGGTGGAGAGACTTGCGGATCGGATCGCGAGGGGTAAGAGGACGGCGCGGCCGAAGGCGCTGAAGAGGTTCGAGACTGCGCCGTAGCCTGTGATGAGGTGAATGGGATGTGAATAGGGCATGTGCGGTCGTATGAGGAGCAAGGAGACAGATGGCGGTCGTGCGACAATGCGGAGAGGCGAGGATGTGTGTAGGATACCCGGGCAGCGTGTATTACCCTATGCTACAGTATCACATTGCGTTACTTGGATTTCGACGCTGGGTCGGTCTTGTCGGAGGGCCCTTGGACACGGTGTGCGACGTGTGGCTGCGAGTGGTAGGCAAGCCGCGCTCGGTCGCGATGCGACGCGGCGATAGACGCAAAGATAAATGCTTATGCAACAGCTGGAGCTTGCGGCGTAGCGTGTCTGGGCACAACACGACGTACTTGGAGTCTCTTCATGCCAGTAACACCCGCAGCATCAGGGCCCGTCTGGGCATTGATGAAACGCTGAAGAAAGTGATACATTGTTCTTTACACAACCAGAGAGCTTCTTCTATGTTACGGCGACTCGCGTATCGAAGGGGAAGGGGGAGCACGCGTAGGAGAAGGGGAACTAGGCAGAGGCATACTTCTCCGTCCACTCCCTGCTGACGCGCTGCGCGTCCTTCTCGTTCTCTTTGTAGTGCTTCGCGACGTCCGTCGCGAGCGGGTCGTCCGGGTTCGGTGCGGAAAGAAGCGCTTGGATCGACAGGAGGACAGTGCGGATTTGGAGCGCGGGGGACCACTTATCTGCAAATCAGGCCCGTAAGCATACGACCAGAGCCAAAGATCCTATTCGCACCAGTGCAAAAGCACTGTACGTAATGATTATACCACGGCAGAGCATGTTGAATAGGGTTGCGCTCCCCAGGGGAACAGATACGGAACGGAATGGGGAGACAAAGTAGCGACACACCTTTCAGGATGTCCAAACAGATGCGACCAAGCTTGTCTGTGCGCAAAAGATATCAGATGCAATCGCGTATAGACAGTGGATGTACTCACCGATGTTGGGGTGGTAGATCTTAGTGAGGAAGCGGACCTTCGGTGGGGCCATAGGGTACTCTTCCGGCAGAAATAGCTCCAGCCTAAACACGCCGTCTATGGTCAAAACGCAGATGTAAAAAAGTCAATATATGAGCGCAGTATCAAGAGCATTATCACGATAGTTCAGAGGGCACACATACTCTGGAATGGGCTACCATCGGGTCCTTGGATCGTTACATCGAAATACCGGAGGTTGTCGTCATGTGGGGTGGCGGTGATGCCTGGTGCAGGGTCTGCAACAAGACGTTCTGTCTCCTGCATGTTTAGAGCATCCACAACATGTCAAAGGCACAGATTGCGAGTTGAGCAGACATGGTCGTGTGGGCAACATTGGATGGCGCACCTTGATGATTCGCTACGATACAGACGAACACGAAAGACTCCATGAGCAGCTGCCATTTTAGAGATGCGTAGAGACTATGAGATACCTTAGGAAGAGACATTGGGTCAGTGTGAGTGGCAGTAGTCGTCGAGAGGGTTGTTCAGTGTGCTCTGCAGTATGCCTGTACCTCCCCGCGCAGATGTCTCCCGAAAAGGAAACGGAACAACCGGCCCGTTTGCGTCAACAAGCGCGCTTCCTCGAGTCGATTCTTTGCACCCAACCACCACTGTCCTTTTTGCGCGGTCGCCCGCTCCTTGATTACAAGTACGCTTTTCACCGCAGTATAATATCGGTGGCCGAAGACCGTAATATTACCGGAGTCAACGGACCCTTACCTAACAATAGCAGCGCCGCCATCATGTCCGCAGATGTTCCTATGCAAGTACGCCTCTAATTGCCTTCCGAGGAGCTTCTTTGCTGCAGTCGTCATGGCTTGACAAATTCTCCTGCCAAAACAGGGAGATGAGAGGGACAGGATGAACGAGTGGGTTCGTCTCACAAGCACAGATGGCTATGACTATCTTGTTAGGCGGAAAGTGGCGATGTGCAGCGGCACCCTCAAGAATATGCTCAGTTCGGAGAGTACGTGCCCGAACTGCTCAGCAACCCTTTTGTAAGGCACGGGTACTGACTCGTACCTCGACGCGCGAATTAGGTAGCTTCTCCGAAGCTCTTTCGAATATCTGCCCGATGAACGAGCGGTAGAATCTTCCGTGTATCCCGCATACGAATACGTGTACCTAACCGACCCCTGTATTCAGCGGCATCATTGTGGAAAAGCTATCAGAGTATCTGATCTACAAGTCAACGTACGAAGGTGCTAAAAAGAACGAGGACATACCTGACTTCCAGGAGCGAGTCCAACCGGAAATATCCTTGGAACTGTGAGTTGCCCTGTTCGTTCTCCTTGTATGTGCGAGGCGTGTGTTGACGGAGGCGTGAACGACTGATTTAGGCTAGTCGCAGCCGACTATTACGACGGTGAGACAGTGTCAAAGCAATTCCTGGGCGCAGTGCTGACCTTGGCAAATTAGCATAGGAGCGCCTGCCACAGGACATTGCGCACTAGGGCCCCCTCAGCTTATTGTACTCGTGCCTCGGTTGCACCATATCCCTTTGTCGTTCGTCAGACGTCTACCAATAATCCGTTTCAGATTTCCTGTATCGTTGCGACACGTATGCTATACCTTCAGGGCGGTTCCCGCTCCACCTGAAGTGTTCATTGCCTGCGTCCCTACGTAGATGGACGCGTCACCTTGGGCACTCATGGGCAATAAGTAACGAGCCTCTATACCAGGCTCTCGGATCACACCAGCTGCTAACTACCTGGCCAGCTAGCGAAGTCCAGCCCCTGCAATGGTCAGGCGATGAGGCGGTGATGAGCCACGCAGACAACGACCAGAGTACGGACTTTCGGCACGTCCACCGGCCGAGGGGTGAGTTACGAACGTAGTTCGATTCGAAGAATTGTCTCTGATTTCGTCAGTTAGAGGATCACTGGATGATCTACCAAAGAGGTTCACCACAGCTGCCCAACATTGGATGCGGTTTCTTACGATGACGCCGCTATGATCCAGGCTCAAGTCGACCGGCATGAGTACTTGGGTTGACGCAAACGACGCAAACAGGCACGGTGCCAAGAAGTGGATCGCAACGCCATGTGCAAGACACTCGGTAACCTGCTTCGATTACTGCCACGTAGTCACGCCACATAATTGCTTATGTGTCCTTGGATGCGTCCCAAACAGCTGCTACAAAGCATTTGGTTTATGTGAGACCACGCGAAGTCTTCAAAGGAGGATACAACTAGCCATATCTAACAGTGAGGTCAAGGGAGAGACACCAGATGAACTATTGGCCAATCTCGCTGATACATAATTGCAGCCAATGTCTAGCAATTTCTCCAGGCGGATGGACTCGCGCCTGAGCTTACGAATCACAACGAGCGTCGCAATGTCGAAGAATGCATCTAGCACACGCGACGAGTTTAAACAGCGGCACGATTGACCTCCTGAACTATGTCGTTTGACGTCAAGTCATCCTTCGGCATCGGAAGAACCCTCCCTTTACTCAAGTCCAAATCATCCTCATGAATACTGCACGTTGTCTCGATGCGAATCGCTAAAGACGATCTCCGGCCCTGTGGCGTCAAACTTGTTTCAGTGCCTCGGAAGGCTAGGAACTCGACATGACATCACTCACCCGTTTGTCGGTAGTCGCCCTGCTACTCGTGTCCAGCCCATATAAACCGAGGTCTGCTACCAAACTACTCTCAAAACTGAGAGGGTTCCTATCGATTTGGCGCACAAAGCGCCTTGCGTTGAGGTTCGCTAGCAGCGCATTCAAGTAAAGTGGGTTCAGAGGGAGTTCCACGGCGAATAGCTGGAGGCCATTGGGAAACGCAGCGATCTAGGGCCCAAAATTGAGTACAAGAGACTTCAAGATAATCAAGGCGGAACTATACCAGCGCAACATCGGCAAGAGCGATGATGGCGGTCCAAACGCCTGTGTTCACCGTCATTATGATGAGGCGCGAAACCATCTTGCTCGTCCTTCTTGAGCGGTCAGTCCTACTAGATGATGAATGTGTCTGTCTCTCTCACCGACGAATATGCGACTGTCTGTTGGTCGATAGAAGATATACCATTGCAGCTGTTATCAGGATATCCACGAAGGCACTCGCGGAGCGAATGGCTATTTCCAAGTTCTGTGGGATGTGTCAGACGTACACCTGCAAATTGACTGCCTACACTGTCAATACACGTACGATATTCCGCGGATCAGGAGTAATGCTGACTGGAGGCTGCCGAGAGCTTTCTCATCTGTGAGTACAGAACATGGATTTCGGGTGATGCTACAGCGCTCACAGCCAGATCGTCAATGCTATCCAAACTTTTTCAACCCAGCTGTGAAACAATATATGATATTGAAACTTACGAATAGAACCAACTATGGAGATATACAGTCAATCAGCAACAAGCTGAAGCGAATCATCTCGGAGAAACAGACCAATCTCCCAAAGGGCAAACGGGAGCTTTACGCTGATGTCAATTGAGGATGCGCTTCGACGAATTTTCACGGCCTACCAGAAGCAGTGGGAACAGCCACCTATTTCCACTGACTGACACTCCTTCGTGAATAAGGATAGATGTCTAGAAACTTATGACTCACATCGATAAATCCTATAGAGGAAAAACATCTGAACACAAAAGGCAACGACAATCTATCCCACTGGAGGTCAAATGTGTGGTATACCCTCATAACAAGGTTTAACGCACCGAAATCCAGCCGTGATGCTTTGTGGGGCAGCGTGAACCTATGAGCTGAACGTCGGGTATTATGGAAGCAACGTACATTTAGTAGCCTAGAAACAGGGTGAGAGCAGGTTTGTATGGACACGGCTTCACTCCACTTACGTCTGTGTACGTATCAAGACCTCCGGGGATCCCCAGTGAACAATTAGAGGAGGGAACACTAGCGTTCAGTCAGGGACAATTCTACGGATGGAGGGGCAGCGTTACTGGAAGCCATGCTGAGCGCGAGGTCTGCCGTCGTAAAAGCCCTAGAAGTCATAGTGCTTAGCAAAGGTGCGATGGCGGGAAGGCTGGATCGAAATTGACCAGACGAGAACAATCTGCGCACGAGTACGTCAATGCGCGTGACGTCGCAGCTAGGTCCATTGAACTCACAAATAGTTTCAGACCGACGCTATCCTTGTCGTATCTAGACGATGAGCGGTTATGAATGAGCCCACTCGTTGAGGAGCGGGCTTGTCCTACATCAGGAAATAGAGAAATCTGCAGTGGTCGTCAGCTGTGGTTCCAATGCAGTCAGTCGATCGGACTTTTACACACATCTGCATGCAAGCGATACCCCATAATATGCTGCTAGAGAATGCACCTAGGAGAACGCATCCCCACGAACCCATCACGTTCACCGACAGGGCGAGTTCAGGGCTGATAGCTTCCGCCATCCTAGCGTACAGTAGCGAGCGCTGAGCCGAGGGAGAGGAAAGACATTAGACGTACGTCGAGTGACTTCTATATCTCGTCCTGAGAGTACGTCAGCTCCTGAACCTCAAGTATGAGTTCCACACGGACATAGGATTCCACACGAGCTGGCGCACTCGTGTCCTCGGACGCAGTATCGCAAGACTAGGAAGAGATATTACAGCATAGTCACCCACACCTAGCGTCCTGGGCTCGCGAAATCGCGGCGAGGTCGTACTATCGCGTTCTCGAAATGCACCGACGGTAGTGAGGAAAGCGTGACGGTGTGCTTCTAGCCTAGTATTGGAGCCTTCATCCGCCTCGTTTACCTCCGGTACTCGAATCGTGGTTTGCCGGTGGTGAGAAAAACTGGAGTTCAATGCATGGAAGAGGCGCTCCCTTGGGAAGTACGGGCGCGTTGTGGCCGGTTTCGTGAGAATCGATGCATGTGCGAGCCTTTCGAGTGTACACGAAGTCCATAACCTGAGCAACGGCGAAGTCAGCAAACGGTAACAGCGATGGGGCAAGCGTTCCGCAGTCGCCGCAGGTCTATCGCATCACCACGATCACGCATTGCGCGCCAGGGCAAGAAGCCATGATATCACTTATGTCACGCGTTAACGTCGAACAGCTATCTTGATGGCTATGCAACTTCTGCAATTTGAAGCTCGGAGACCTGAAAACGGTATCTCTGAGAAAGCGGTCGCAAATAGTACCCTGAATCAACACAAACAAAGCAGCTGCAATGGCCATGAGCGAACAACGTGCACGACGGCGAAGCATCCTCTAAGGTGGCACGACGGACATTGGCCAATGCCCGTCGTGTGGTGTCTTTCTGCGTTCCCATTGAAGATATCCCCCGAAATCGTAAAGTCACACGTCTCCGGCTGTGCACGTCCTTCCGGGAAACAAAGCACAGCATGTTGAAGAGATCCATACCGGTTTTCGTGACAACGGTTTGTAGATGGGGTGGTGGCGATGAGAATAGCTACAGGGACATGTTGACAGCAGCACGAGCTGATAGAAGTCAAATAGAAGCGAATTTGAACCAGCCCACACGAACTAACACATATAGCTTACCGAGACGGAACACGACCCGCGGCGCGGCGCGGAACCACTACAGCCGCAACGAGGAGCGGAGTGTCATACTCATATGGAGACAGATCTCAGTAGCATGCTCATGCGTTGCAAAATTTTACACCAATAGACCGGTGTACTTGCAGCGTTATTCCCATCGAATTGGATCTTGTAACACCGCATGTGAGGTCATTACGTGAGACCAGCTTGCTTGAAGGGGAACGAGTCTAGCAGGATTTCGATGCGTCTGTTGTGTCCTCGCCATCTTCGTTCAGTATATGGTGTGTTAATGTCAGAGTAGTCCAATGGATTCGAAAATGGCAGGAAGAGGCGATGGAATGAGGACCAGACGACGGAGTGAGGAAGAGACAATGGGAGTAAGGAGAGAGAGGCGGCCGACAGATCTAGCAGAGAGCGCGGACCGCCAGCGCTCCGGTATTTCCGAAAGCGGAAGTCTTGGCGCGGAGGCACGTTAACAGCACATCTCAGTGAGAACCTTCCCTTTTTCAGCGGTCTATGACCTCTCTCTCTCGAAGACTTGCTCGTCGCCCATGCACGTCTTCACTGATGCCCCAAGCAAGACATCTGCAGCGTCCCTCACCATTAGACCGTTTTGCGGGAAGTCCAACGGCCCACGAATGTTGATGTCTCCACCCCGCCACCGGTGCTGGGATAGATCAAGTCATTCTCGCCGTTCAATGTCGAGCTTGTGACGTCCAAGCAGGGCAAGAACACAATCGGCCTCCATGTGCGCCCGCGTGTTGCTTCGAGCATCTGTCGTGCGGCTCTTGTTTGGTCAAGGTGAACCGGCAAGTCGAGCACGTACAGTCCCAAGGAGGACTCGGCAAGTATCTCTCTGTAGATTATCTGGGGCATCATATTTGCACGACTTCATGGACATTGGTTTTGCTGCAGTCCCTCTGAAACCCTTAGGATCAACCGCCCAAGTCCTCGCGGCCGGCCGACGCCCGCTCGAGTACCGGTACCTGCTGCACTATCCTTCTCATTCCATAACTAGCGATACGACACATCCGCAGCCTTCCGCCGTGTTCGTTTCAGACGTCCACTTGATCCACCGCAAACGCTCTCAGCCTATGGAAAGCAGGTCGCGCATCATCTCATCTGTGCTATGAAAATACTATTGTATGCTCTATCTATGTCTCGTCTTGTTTCACACCATTTGAATCTTGATGACCTAGTACCCGGCAATGTGGCTTGCTGACCTCCTTTGTCATGACGGGAATGGTCAATGTGGGCCGCTTTAAATAAACTGTCCCTTGCCACTACCTTGTATGCAGCTCTGTTTCTATGGATTGTTGTCTCACTCATCAGATAGCTGCACACCGTATGGATGGGGCGTGAATGCATCAGTGTCCCTAGTTTGGATGCATCCCTACTGACTCGGATCTACGTCCCTTACGGATAACCGCACCCCGTATGGATGGGGCATGGGTGGATCCATAGCCCCTGGATGCATCTTACCGTGGATGCATCCGTGTACCGTACTTCGGATGCATCCATCGGGTGATGGAGCACCAGTACGGATGCATCTGGAGTACTGAATACCTACCGTATACCGCACAGGCCTCTTGACTTAAGGCCATCCCGAGCGACGCGCGGTGGACGCACAATGTGGCATAGCCGAGCGACACCGGGCGGGCGAGAAATGGGCAGCTACGAAAATACGCTAACTTTGAGCGGTGCTAATTTTTCATGCAACTTGAAGGTACTTCATCCATAGCTGGGAAAGGGGTCCACGCTGTCTCCGCTTTGCTTGTCACAGGCCCAGGATTGGTTTGACTGGCTTGACTGGTTTGACTGGTTTGAACTGGCTGCAAATCTGGTACGTGTTTAGCGCCATCGCGATGACATCGTTCATAGTAGGTCGCCCAACCATGCAAGATGAATTCTCCAGGTCATGCATTATACACACTATGCTACGAGATCCAGTTGGTCTTCCAACAGAGCATATTGGCAATGCGCCGCAATCTAACTTTCCGTAGAAGATTTCTTACAGGGCTCCCCAAGGCTGCATAAGTTGGATGCTAGATAGCAGTAGAACCAGACATGTGACCAGATCTGACTGCTTCTCAAAGAAAATTTTCCGATTCTCCTCCTTTTACGTCTCTGGGATGACTTGCCAGGGGAGGGAGCTGTCATTAGCTGACTCGGACTACTCCGAGATGTTCGGAGATATGGGTTTCGTAGGTCTGAGACTCTGAGTCAGCGGTGTTTTTACGGTGAGGCGTTCGACCCCTCTCCTGGGGAATCAGACAAAACATTGAAGGGGAGATCACCGTAAAGTACGAGAAGGCGTGTACGAAAAACGCGGTAAGCGACCACGTGACGAAGGGCTGGCGTTGGATCTAAAAATACGGATGGACGCGATACGGGCGGCTACGAAAATACGCCGACTTTGAGCGGGGTTAGTACCTGACGAGACGGCAACACTGGTACGTGTCGATGCGGCTGGAGGCGCTATCAGGCGGTTTTGTCCACAATCCGATGAGCCGCCCATCGGGTTTGCGGAGGAGTCAGCGCAGACAGGGGTAACTGCCTTGACGTGCGGCTGCCATCATTGCGTGTACGGATGGCATAGGTCTGGGGATTATACGAATCTATAAATGTTTGCCTAGCAAGCGACCACGGATTGTATCCCAGCATCTTTCCTTGCTATCCCCAGTCACCATGCCATCATACCTCGTAGTCGGTGCTTCTCGCGGATTGGGCCTCGAATACATTCGCCAGCTTGTAAGCAAAACTCCTACTGGGCTTGTACCTGTCATCCTGTAGTTGATATATCCCGCACTTACAGGCCAAACGGCCTGATGCCGTGGTTATCGCTCTCGTCCGCAACCCGGCCAAATCGACCCATCTTACTTCTGCCATTGCGGGTCTCAAGAACGTCCATGTAGTAGCAGGTGACATAGCCGACTGTCCCACGCTAGAGGTTGGGTTGCTGTCCACGATCGTCTGCTAATTCGTTTTGTACTCATGCTGCATGTCTCGAACAGCTTGCGTCGAGGCAGGTGGCAGAAATTACCGGCGGGACGTTGGACTACCTGATCCACAATGCTGCTAGGATGAACCCAGCTACTATCTATAACGGATTTGACGACTAGTGCGTGCTCCTTCAACTCCATGGTTGCTAATCTAATATACTTGGCGCAGCCCTGATGTGGAACAACTTGACTCCGATTTCGTCGAAGCGGTACGGCAGTTAGTATGACGTCAACCTGATACCGGTCTGACTTCCAGCTTCGCTCCGTAGTTCAAGGCCAACGGGCTTGGTCCTGTACACAGCATCAAGGCATTCCTACCCCTTCTCCGCGCATCCTCTACCAAGAAGATCGTCGTCATCGGCACAGAGGCCTCTCAACCTGACTTCGTTCGGAGCTTCGATTTCGCTCTCGCAGTGGCGTATGGGGTGACGAAGGCCGCGGGCCTCCTCGCGACCACGAAGTATGCGGTCCAGCTCAAGGATGAAGGCTTTGTCGTCGCCAGTCTCCACCCCGGGCTAGTAGACACGTCTGCCACTGGTGTCGCCGGTGGTGCGTTACTTCGAGTCCATGGCCATTTCATTTCGCATGAGCTGATGTGCTCTCTCAGTGCCTACACCAGCTAGTCAAGCCTTTTCGGCCTTTCTAAACAAAACGATCTCGTCTGGCATTCCCATTCAGATTCTGACGCCCGAGCAATCAGTCGTAGCTCAGCTGAAGGTCATCGATGCGCTTTCGCCTTCCGATAATGGCTTGTTCCTGAACTACACGGGTGGAGAGTGGAGGCTAGGCTAAGTGAGCGTCCCTTTTGTACATGAATATTTGCACTACAACTTGAATTTATCAATGCCGCCGGGACATTGCTCCCGTTATTCCGAGTTGAGGTGCCTTATAAGCAACACAACAAGCATCTCGATGCTGGGTATAATAGCCTTTAGCGGGGGATAATGCACACAACCGCCCTACGAAGGAGGTAGCGGTCGCCCCTAGCACAATCGAGCCGGGGAATGCACTTGCCGGTGGCCGAACGTAACTTCTCTGTTAGATTGCCTTTAGGCATACATAATGACTTAGGTGAGCCGATTCGCGTGTATTGATGTAAATTATGCAGCTCGGGATGTGTAGATGTCGGGCACACTGACATGCACCAAGCTAAAGGTATCTGGTATGCGTTCACCCGTAACAAGCACGGGGAGATAATATGAGTGATTCCCGAGGAAACGAGCAGCTCTGACACGACAAATCAACCAGCAAACTAAGAAGCGCTACTTATTGATCTATATTACGGAAATGAATTACAGGATCAGGTGTCGACGTCACCTACATCTCGACTCCAAGTCAAATGTGCCACTCCGGTGAGAGAAAAAGAGCGAATGCCTTATGGACAAGTGAGTATGCAATGTGGTCCAATTTAACCGCGACGACATGATGTTACAAGGGAGTACGAGATACAAAGATATACATTCCAATGCGGGACAAGATACTGCTGCGACAAGGATACGTTTTCGAGTGATGTAGAGAGATGTGAAAAGACCTGCTTTGAGTTATGAACAGTCGTGAGACACCGGATGCTCCGAGTGTCTATTCCGGTAGATTGGCAGAATATACTGAATGGAGGATAAGCAATGCAATTTGTCGTTTCTAGTTGGTGCGTCCTCCAGACGTCCACCGATGCTAGGTGAGCGTACTCAATCGCGGCGCCAAGGCGGGCGGAAGGGCGTCCAGTGTCGAGGCGTACGGGCTCCATCGCGATCACTGTCATCGTCATCGTCCCGATCGTCGTTTCGGTTGTTCGACCCACTCGCGCCTGCAGCTGGAGCAGAGTTCTCCCCCGAGCGAGGTTTGGTCACTCGTCCACGGCAGACGGGACATGTCCGTGCGGTCTTGAGCCATTGCTGCAATGGAGCGTCAACACAACGTCCAAGAGGTGGTGTCTTGGGAGTTTGTGCATACCTGAAGACAGCCTTCATGGAACCAGTGAGAGCATGCAGGAACACGGAGACAGGCATCCTTAGCGTCGTACTAAAGGAGCACCGAGTGGTCAGTGCTGTCAACCTAAGCACGAGCGTCGTAGATTACTTACATCGTCCAAACAGATGGGGCAGCGCTCCTCCGTGACCCCAGGCCGTACCCAATCTCCATACGTTCCTTTTGGAAGAGAAGAAATGATGTCGGCCGGCGTTCCACGAGGCTTCACGTCGCCCAGGATGGTCGACAGCGAGAGCAAGCCTTCGTATGACATGTCCATGTCCTCATCGCGCTGACCGCAGACGATCAGAAACGTAGACCACAAGGACTATCACGGAACTCACTATGTAATCGCCAATATTGCGCCTGCGCCCATACGGCGGCAAGCGGGCACTAGGGAAGTCGACCCAAACCATGTCCGGCGGGAAGTGCGAAGCAAGGCCGCGCGCTCGCGCAAAACGGCCGTTGAGCGGCGCGCGCTGCTCCGTCCGGCCTTCGGTTGGACGCGGATTGCTCGGTGGCGACGGCGGTCGGTACGCGAATGCCCTGCCGGCCGCGCGCTGCCGTGCAGAAGCAAGAGACGGTCCCTCGTTGGCATTTCCCGTTAAGCGCGACGCCAAAGAAGACGCGAGCGTGGACGAGGGCATGTCTGGTCCACCTGCCCTGCGCGCAGGCACCCTCCTCACGGTATCGAGGCGTTGTTCCCAGCGGTCGAGTCCGCTCGAGCGCGTCGACGGCTCGTTGTCTCGCGTGCCGTGCAAGTGGCTGGGAGCACGCTCGCGCTCGAGGAGGGTGCGGTGACGTGTAGGGGGAGGGGGCGTGACTGTAGGCCGGGTCACAAGCTCACGCAGGCGTTCGATCTGGTTCTGAGGCGCAGAATGCTCGCGTACGCGTCGGAACAGAGGGGGGGGACGTGAAGGGAGATCCGAGGAATGCACTTCGTCGAATGTACGAAGATGTAGCTGCTCCGGCTCGTTGTCATCAGACGCCTGTGGCATCGCGGACGTAACTGGTGGACCAGCCTGGGGCGGCACACCGCGCAAGCGCACAGCCCGACGATGCGCAGAGCGTTCCATTCGCTCTATCATCTGTCGAGCCGTGCGCTCGCTGAATATGAGCGGGCCATCATCATCCTCTTCTGAGGAGGACAGAGACAGAAAGTATTCTCGTCGCAAACCGTGTTCGCGCGTCTCCGTGCGACTTGGAGATGCCCGCTCTCGTGTGTTCGTGCTCTGGCCCTGCAGCGCCATCGAGCGTGCAAGCGTGGCGCGGAAGGGCCCCTCGCGATAGGCGCTGAGATCGAAGTTCCCGTAGTGGTATTGGCGTGGCTGCGGCGCAGGATCAGGGTGCGAAGGCTCCGATGAGGAAACGGACGGAAGAGCAGGCGGCGGCGGGTAGTTGGGAGGCTGCAGGTGATCGGTGAACGACTGGAGCATTGCGTCGTCCGTGGGGGTCCGTGGGGTGAAGGTACCATGGAACAGATAGTCGTAAGGCCGGCGTTGCGAGGACGGCCTGGTCCTCCTATCACCATCCACTTCGCTGCGGTAAGAAAAGGATGGCTCTGTGGATTGAATGCGTGGTGAGGGTGGGGATGGAGGGGGAGTAGGAGTGCGCTGGGGCGGTCTGGCTCTATGTCGTAGGTTACTTAAGCCGACAGACCTGTCTCGACTAGCCTCCAGGTACGACTCTGCCCGTGTTCGAGTAGGCTGCGGCATCGGAAGCGGTCCCGACGCTTCGGATAAGTCGTCGAAATAGTAAAAGCCATAGCTGTCATAGTGTGCTTGTTGGGGGGTGGTCGAGCTTGGAAGGGACATACTAAGGTAATCTGAAGAAGATGGCGGATTTGTCGGCACGGGCTCCCATGTTGTCCAGTGAGAAGTTGTCGCAGAAGGCTCAGGTTCAGCGGCAGGCTGCCTGGGGGCCATTTGAGTTATTCTGGAGGCGGGATTAGGTTGCGGGCGACTTGGAGGACGGTGGCCTCGTCGAGGATGTGTCCGATCGTTGATGTGCCTTTCATCGAGCGCACCGCGAAGTGTCGAGAATGAACTGCGCGAAGGTCCACTTTCTGCAAGAAAGTCCGCGACACGCTCACTATGCGCTTCAGTGTCACGCATAGTGCGTTCAAACTGGTCTTGAATGTCGCGATCATTCTCCCGCCTCCAGAAGCCGTCAACGAAAGAATGCAATTCTGACAAACCGGCCGACCTGGATGGCGGGGAAAGGCGCCTTGAAGGCGCAGGCGGCGCTCGTGGGCTAGCAACACGGGCTGACATTTCCAGCCGCTGGTGTAACGGGGATCTACGGGGCGATGAAATGTGAGGCGGTGAAGTCTCCGGTTCATTCGTGTGTACCGAATCGGCAAGCAGTTGGTCCAGCAGCTCTGTGAAGGGAGTCAAACATTCCGTTAATCATACGGGACAATGAAGGGTTACATACCTTGACGAGCTCTCGACCTTCCTATTATATCACCTTGGCGGGCAGCATCCCGCTCGTATGTTGACAGACGTCTACGTCGGTCGCCGAAGGTTTCTCCGCCAATGCCCAGATCGGGCCGAGAGGGTGGCTCATCGGGTTGTTCCACGACTGCAGAAAGACGATTCCGTAGCAAGAGATGTTCCTCACCGAACGAGGCCCCCGCATTGAAGGACGAAGACAGAGACTCTAAGAGACATTCTAAACCATGAAGACGAGCAAATAAGGACCAACCACAGACCATGTGCGCTCGTATCTGGCAAGCTCGGCGTCCAAGACTGCCACAGTGGTTCAGATGTTCGGACGGGCGACTGGCGCAAGGCCGATATCTCCCGGTTGAAAGCGTCGGCTCTCTCCATCATCCTGAACAAGTCTCCCTGGGGGTCCGCCTGTGGGAGTGGCGAGGGGACATTCTGAGGTGGGATGGAATCTTGACGAGATACAAACGAGAGGATATCGTCCATGGGGACATCGGGCTCGTCTACGGGGCCCAGGAGGACCGAAGGGTCATCCAAGGGCAGTAGTTGGCCCTCCACAGCGTCATCTGCGGGGAGCAATTGAGGAGAGATGTCGGTAAAGGAGGATCGTGCAGAGTGGTAGCTATCGAGGCTGCTGCTGCTCCCGGAAGAGGACACGGAGGTGTTGGATGACACAAGTAACTCATCCACTTCGCTCTCGCTGTCGTTTCGGGGACGTTTGCTGCGTTCGCGACTCCCTCCGGGGCTGGAAGACGAACCGACAGAAGAGTCCCTGCGGCTGGTTTCGACAGGCCGGGCGCCGAGCTCTGGGTCCATGTCGTCGAAAGAGCGTTTGTGAGTAGAGGACATGGAAGGGATGTCAGACGAAAAGCATGGTTCAGCCATTGAGGACAGCAGACATGAAGGTGGTAGGCGGTCAAGTCGCCACCGTGCACCACCACCCTTTGCTTCCGACATGCCTCACGGGCGCTATCCCGGGCATCTCTTCCGCAGACGCTCGACACGCGGTACGGCTGCAGGCTCCATTCAGTGTCCTTTGTCTGCGGTATACAAGGTCTCCAACGCAAACGTTTCGACATGCAGCACACCACGTTGATGCAGGTTCATCTACTAAGCACGTTCTCAAATGTAGCACTCTCGGTGCCTTCCACTATCTCTGAACCCGCCGGATTGCCCGCAGGCTACGAACTATGTGCGTGCGCCATACTGCTCTCATCTAGGAGTGTATTGTCGGGAGTTACGCTGTTTAACAAGGCAGTACAGTAGGTAATTTGCAAGACCAAGGCTCATACGTCCGAGTCCAACGACTGCAACCTAAACGTCCGGGACTTATCAAGCGTACCCGCATATCTCAAGACTAAGGCTCTCAAGCAGCCTTCCTCTCTTCCTCCGCCCTGCGCTTCTCGCGCCTCTCACGCCCGCGGGTGACCATGGGCTTAGGCTCTAGGTTCGCGAAGAGGCGCTTGCACACTTGCTCGATCACGTAGCAGCCAATAAAGTCGACGATCATCGTCGTCGTCAGCTTGAACTTGAACTAACATGAGGCAAATCAGCCATCAGCACTATTCATAAAAGAGTTGGAGTTGTCCGAGGAAACAGAAGCGACGCACAGAGTTCTCCATCTCGACGATCTGCAGCCAGCGATTCAGGTCGGGCATCAGGTCAGTAGCGCCGGAGAACGCGACAGCCCCTGCGCCGACGAGGCCCCAGTAGAGAGCAGAGTTTTCGCGGATGCCTTCGCGGAACGGCCGGCCCTGGAAGTTGATGGCGAACGTGGACACCTGCTGGGAGAGGCCAAGGAGATAGATGGCGGTGTTCAGGAGGTTCGGCTCGAACTTCGCCTCGAGGTCGATGGCTCCCCGTTCCTCAAACATGTGTGAGAGGTTCGTGATATACACGAGGGTGACGATGTGGAGCGCAAACTGCAGGAGCACTGACAGCAGCACGTAGAAGTTGAAAATGTTCCCCAAAGGACGCTCTCGAGACAACTTCTCGACAGGCTACCAGGTGGGAAAGTCGCGTTGAGTAATGAATGCTGAAACGTGATTCGGAAACTTGCGTACCTTCGCACGCGATATGCACAGGAAACAGACGGACATGAGCATACCGGTGATCGTGACTTGGTAATCACCGAATTTGATGCCGTCCAAATACTGCACGCTCAAGCTGTATGCCGTGATGAGGCAGTTGAGGGCAAGGATCTTGTACATCTGTATCGTCGCAACGAGCGTGCAACGGCCCTGACGAATAATATGCGTGACTTTGGGAGAAGAAGACGGCATTAGCAAGCCACGTCAAGTGGTGATCAGAAAGTATCGAGCACTCACTCGCTTTGACGTTCGACAACTTCGAAGTGAAGGGCGCCGCGCAGCTAGCATCTCCCAATTTGATCTTCGGCACCTCGTCCTCGGTATCCATCTCCGCCAACTTGTCCGTAATACTCGCCAAATCGAACTTCTCCATCGGGTTCTTCTTCCGCGCGGTCTGCAGGTCCTCCGCCGCCTTCTTCTGCGCCTCAACAACGTCCGGGTACAAGTGCGCGATCGCAGGCGGCACCGGGGGCGGAGGCTGGTTGAACCGCGCGGAGATCTTGAGCTGCTGCTCGTAGACCCTCTTGATGCGCTCGTTGCGCTGATGCTCTGCGATCTTCTTCAGGTCTTCTTCCGTGCCGTCGAGGAGCGCGACGCCGATGTGAGCCTGCTTCAGGGCGCCAACGTCGTTCGTGCCGTCGCCGGCCATGAGCGTAACGTAGCCGAGACTCTTGAGTGACGTCAGAATGAATTCCTTCTGCGAGGGCGAGACACGGGCGTAGACCCAGGTGTTCTGGACGAGATCGTTCCATGACGGGTGCGACTCGTAGAGTTTCATAGCAGCGCCGGTAATGCAGATGTCGTACTTATCGAACAGCGAAGTGTCGATGGGCTGCGAAGTGTCTACGTTGATGTTCACGGTATCGTCCACCGAGCGCCATACAAGCGAGTTCGAGCCCTCAGGCACATCGAGGATGAGCGCGTCGCGGTCCACAATTTCGACATCGCGAGCGACGTGGACAGCCGTGAGCGGGTTATCTCCGGTAATCATGACGCACTGCGCGAACAGTCAGTACTGGGCCAAGGGTCGAGGGCGTGGCTACTCACGCGGTGAGAAGAGTCCCCAAGCATCTTGAGCGTCTCGACAGCATCCGGTTTCAACGGGCAGTGGAAGACCAAGAAACCGACGAACTGCAGATCAGACTCGACTTGATCGCGAGGCAGCTTATTGATCTACAGGAAAGTGAGCCAAACATACCCTATGATACGATGAGAGACAAATACCTTATCCAGAGAAATGCTCTCCATCTCCTTGTACCCGAGCGCGAGCACCCGACTGCCTCTCCTGGTATACCACTTGAACGTCTCGTCATACTCCTTAGGCACCGCCCTCAACATGCGCCTGATCGTCTCGGGGGCACCCTTCGTCGCGACCATGCACCTCCCGTTCGGCAAGCTCGATACCGTGCTCATGCGCTTCAGAGCAGACGAGAACTGGAACCGGCGGCGGACGATGATCTGCGTGCGGTGCGGGGCTGCCGGGTCCACGGGGGAGACGTGGTCGCCCTTCGCAAGCTGCCAGTCCAGCGCGTCCAGAGTCGTGCGCTCCATGGGGTCGCCGACGATCGTTCCATCGTCGAGACGGACGAGGGCGTGCGCCGCGGCCAGGGCTAAGGTAGTCTCACGGCCCGTCGCCTTGACGTCGACGAGCTTGATGGGGTCCGAGGGACTGCGTAGCAGACAAATCAGCGAAATCTTCCCAGGAAACGCGATGACGACTCACTCGATGCCAACGACACCTTCGACGACGAGGTTCTCTGCAGTGATGGTGCCAGTTTTGTCGAAGCAGCATACATCCACACGTCCAGCGGACGGGATGCGGAAAGGTTCGGTACAGAAGATCGCTGGTTGCAACTTCAATCGCATGTCCTTCAACAGCAACGGGTGGGCAGAACTCACCATACTTCGACAGCGCGACTAGAGATGCATTGACCGCGAGGCTCAGCTCCATGGGCAGCTCGGGCGGGACGACGCTCGTGATAATGAGGATACAATCCAGCAGCAGCTTCGACTTCTTCAGGTCGCGCTCGATGCCTTTCGTCCACACATACCACGACGCAGCAATGGCGAAGATGAGCAGGAATCCGATGAACAGGAAGCTCTCCGCGTTGTTCGCTGATACGCGCTCCGTCGAGAAGATCATCGTCCGCACCAGCTGGCCCTGCGCGGTTCCGAACCCGGTGCGTAGCACGACCCCGAGGCAGCCGCCGTCCGGGGTGTCCCCACCCTTAGTCGCCTGGAGGAGCTTCGTGCCAGAGAAGAGAACTGCGTTCTTGTGTGCCCCATCGACGTCAAGCGGCTCGCTCGCATCCAGCAGCTCGATGGATTCCTTGAGCAGCGGCGTGGACTCTCCGGAAAGCATCGCCTCGTTGACGATACAAGTGCCGCGGATAAGGAGGATGTCTGCAGGGATGTTCGTCTCCGTCTGCTGCCTGGCCACAGAGATTATGTCGCCTGGGAGAAGGTCGTCGCTCTGGATCTGAGACCAGACGTTGTTGCGACGGACGTAGACAGGATAGGGAGCCACAGCCATCGTGCGAAATTCGGTCAGGGTTCGAAGCCGCTGCCAGACCACCGTACACTCGAAGACGATGAGCATGAACAGGGTGAAGAGCGAGTAGTACCAGTACTCGTCCAGGCACCAGAGAGCGACGCAGAACACCTGGAAGACGAAGAACGGTGCAGTTGCGTGCTCACCAAAGAGCGCAGAGAACGAGGGAATAGGAATGTTGTATTCGTTCTTCCCATAGAGGTCCACCGCAGATGTGAGCTCAGTGGACGTTAGAGATTTTGGCGTGAGGAAGGAGCCTAGAGGAGGATGAGTCGAACATGGATAAGGTAGCCGGGAGAACGTGATAGGGGAAGTATCCGTGACGACGTAGGTGTCTTGCTGGTAGTTGAACGTGTAGGTAGCCGGGTTTGACGGGTCCTTTTTGCGTATAGGAACGATCTCGCCTTCACCTCTGTGCGGCGCAGGAATTATACGTAAACAATCGGCATCTTCTATTGAGCGTGCCTATAGCGAAAATCAAGGTTAGTTCCACTATTACGCCCAGACGTGCGACTACTAGCGCATACAGGCACGTATACACCGAATCGAAATTTCCACTACGCGCCTTGAGCGCAGACTTTGCTGGTTCAGGCATTTCAAAACGCTCCGAGATAGTCTGGAATATAGAGAAGATGCAAAGTACTTTTCGCTAGGTCATAGATCACGAACAGTCTTTGCAGCACAAAATCATGACGATTTCAGGAAGGCAATATCCAGAACACAGAGGAAACCTTCGCACGCCTATCCCTCCAGAATATCTGTGAGGCTTTTATGCGGTTCGCTTTTCATAACGATGGGCCCTCTTGAAAAAAAACACGCTCAAGCCGCTTAGCAGCCGAACCGTTTGCGAGCCCAATCAGGTTGTCTGACGCTCTGGTACCCCAGCCTTCAAGGTGTTCAATGGTGCTCTTGGGCGTTATGAGTGGTGAATTGGGCTCGCATCCCGGTCCGCTCTCTAACCGACCTGAGCATGATTTTTTCGGGAGGGCCTATCGGTTTGAAAAGCGCTGTCACCAGAATAAGTGCCCTTGCATACGGCGGACGATCGTTCCTGGCCACTAGTGGTCCAGGACTCCTCTGCAGTATGTGCAAGTCCGTGTGGAGGGTGCCAGCTCGCGTGGTTTCGCCTTTCAAATCTACAAGTGTAGAAGGTGGATCTCAGGGGGCCACTGGCACCCTTTTGCTTGTGCTAGCCGCGTCGAGAGGACCAAAGGGAGGGCGACACGACGGGCAGCGCTCAGAATCCCTTCGCGTGAAACGGAGGTCTGTTTTCAGGACAGTCCTAACTTGTCCCTTTGCCGACGCGCGCCAAAGGGCGCTGAAAGGTCGGCAATGGGATAGTCGTACTTGCCCAGAAGTTCTACAGCCCTTTCACAAAGAACGGTTCGAGGGGGCGCCCGTCGTGCGAAGCCCTCCCGACCGCAACAAACCCCATTGGGAAAGAATCCACAGGCAGTAGTGTCAACTTCATTACTGCTTGAGTTCTACGGCTTCAGCCCGCAGAAGTTTATGAGCGTGATCATCCAGGCAGTTGAGGGCGGGCGCAAGCCCGACTCATGCACGGAGGCATCCACTCTTGGCTGAACGCTTGAGCAGAGATGAAATAGAGCGCGCCCTGGCCAGGACCGCCCGGAGGGCCCTATACTGTCAGACGTGTCGAGTGCATAGAAGAGTAACATGCCTGGACTCGCGTGATCCCCCCAGAGCCGGACTGACTGCTTCCCGTCAACACGGTGGGGTATCCGGCAACCAGAATCACAACATCCCGCATCTACCAGACGCATTTCAGAGATCGTTCAACGAAGAATGCTCACCTTTCTTGTCGTAATCCAGGCCTTTGCTCCCGTATTCCATTTCGTGAACAAGAAACTGAGCGCGTGGCCAAGCCCAAGCGACACGCACGCGAGAAACGTCCACTCCTCGCTTTGTAGCCAGTCGTCGTACTTGACGTAGTACGCGTAGGCGAGAACGGGGTAGAGGGAGAGGAATGGGATGGTGTACAGGTGGGTGTACCATGGCAGGCTGACGTGCAGGGACGCGCCCGCAATTTCAGGGGAAACGACCTTGACCGAGCTCCTGTTTTACATCAGTTGTGGGTATGTAGCTACATCAAGAAAAAACATACATTGTGAGACCTCGGTGCTGGTCTAGGAGAAGGATCCGTGCAGAAGACGGTGGTGAACGAGGAAGCGTAAGCCTGAGCCGGAGCCACGTCTCGCCACATCTCCTCCGGCGCACGTGGAGCAGACGCCCACTCTCCTTTGCGGACGCCGCGGCTGCGACGATTTATATTACTGAGTCTAATCTAGTGCTGCCTCACTATGATTCCGATGGCTTTACTCCATATGAACTGCCCCCGTCAACTAGATTGCGAGCCAGTATTGACTCCTACTTGAACTAGATACCCCCGCCAACCTAATCCAGGCTTGGCTCAGAATGCGGTAAGCACACCTTGGCTCAGCCAGGACCAGGCAATATTCTTGTCGCATCGGATCCAGCCCAGCTCAGAGACCCCGCAAACGCAGTGATTCCTAGCGGGGTTCAGACAACCGATATTCGATGACACACTACTCCTACTCTGACTGTACAACATACTCATCACGAACTTCGACCTGCTGGTCAGAAATATCGGTCGTTCGAACCCATTCCATGATGTATTATTCTCCCGATCTAGAGCCACCCTCGCTCCTCATACTCTCTGAGCAAATCCTTAACCGTCTCCTCCTGGGTGCGATACTCCATTCCGAGGAGCTCCTTCGCCTTCGCCACATTTTTCCTTGCCATATAGGGAGCATTAGGATTATATGACCCGACAGGAGGATACGTTTTGCCCCCTGAAACTTCGTGCGCTGTAATGACTGCAAGGTGGTGAGCACGTCATGCTAGGCAGGAGGTCATTGCTTCGGGTACTTACTGAGATCTTCCCACCTGAATGGGGCAGCAGCAACGATGAACCTCTCACCGCCCGCAGGCGGCTTAGTGACTGCGAGCAAGATCGCCTGCGCGAGGTCGCGCACGTCGATAAATGCATGGCTACACAGAAGAATTCAGTATCCCCCATTGCTGGAGTTCTCTCGGTTTGATGAACTACTCACTCGACAGGTGAGTACTGGCCCTTCACGACTGCCTCATAGACATCAGGAAAAACTCCCCCTGCGAATTGGCATTAAGCGAGCTAAATTATCCCTCACCAGCGAGATTAGTCCATTAGTCTAAAAAGATAAGTCCCCTGCTAACCAGCAGCCATTAGCTGCCTTAGTAGGCAGGGCCCGTAGCGGCGGTCATTCATTATTTGCTCGCCATTCAGGCTGTCGTTTGGTCTTTTTAGATTCTAGTTGCTTGTACGATAGATTCAATATATTGAAGGGTACGACAACGACTAGCATGATTACACTGCATAGTAATCTATAAACTTGTATACTAAGTTCCAACATGGTACGCTAATCCGACCTCATCCAACTAAACATAGCACTACAACGTGGTCCGGATCCTCTCTTGATGAGCTTATAGTACCGCAACTTACTTCTTGGAGGCGCGAAATGCAAAGTGCGGCTGGGCAAGGCCACAGACGACGACTTACCTTCGGATGTAGTACATTACGCACCTTCGAGTTGCTATGCA